TCCTTGAGGCAGTTTTGTGGGCGGAGTTGGTAAAGTCGTCCGCCTCTTTGTCACCCTCTTAATCTTTAGTGTCTGCGCAGGGAGGGGGAGGATCAATCAGCCACGCGATGAAGAATTAAAAAGGTGCTGAGCCCCAGCCCTGTAACCCTAAACCCTGCGACACCCAAGCCACCCCCGCTGTGCACCACCACGGGCCACCGTGGGGGCGTCACCCTGCCACCGCATGTACCCCCCCCACACCCAGCGCTGCGAGGCTGAGATTGCGGCAGAGGTGGGAGATGGGGCTCGGGGTAAGGACCCCCATATATCCCCCTGCTCAGGACCCACTGGGTCCTATAAGCGCATAAGCCCTTCGCTAAGGCGGTTAGAGGAGAATAACGAAAAGTGGTAATTAAGGGGGGTAATTTCCCTGCCCCCAAGTAATTAATTACCAGCCCTGATGGCGAAGGGAGGGGGGATACTCGGTGGGGCCCCCCCAAAGTGGTCAACCCCCAGTGGTTGGCACAGAGCACCCCCCCATGCCTCAGTTTCCCTTCCTGGGGGGACGTGGGGGCCCCCGGGGGCATTGGGCCAGGACTGCTGACGCTGTAGCGTGTGGGGGCCAGGTGGCTCCTGGGGTTATGCAACCACTGCTAAACCCTCGCCGTGACAGGGCAGCACAATTTGGGATTTGAGGGCTTTAGCCGCTAAAACCCCCTGCCCAGCTCAGGGGGATGGTGGGTAGCCACCATCACCCAGCCTGGGTTGTCCCCAGGGATGGGCCAAGCTGTGGTGGGGGGTCCCCAGCCCCCTGTGTCCCTCCCAGGAGGGGCTCAGTCTGTGGCCCCCAGGGTGTTGCTGCCATTTGTGGCCCCGGCGGAGGTGTCCCAGGGGATGGGGACTGGCAGCGGGTCCCTGCTGAGGGCTGGCAGCAGTGACACCAGTGGACCCAGGGGCTGGGGGTCAGCCCTCTGTCATCCCTGCCTGCTGCATGGCTCCATCCCCACTGCCTGTATCACGCCTCCAATCCTGCTGCCTGCAGCATTGCTCCATCCTGCCTACAACCTCCTTCCATCCCCCTTACCTGCAGCATCATTTCGTCCCCCCGCCTGCAGCATTGCTCCATCACCCTGCCTGCAGCATTGCTCCAACCTCCCCTGCCTGCAGCATATCTCCACCACTCTGCCTGCCTGCAGCATGGCTCCATCATCCTTGCCTGCAGCATTGCTCAACCTCCCCTGCCTACCACATTGCTCCATCACCTCTGCCTGCTGCATGGCTCTGTGGCAGTGGCTGCCCTCCTCCCTCCGCAGAATTATGACGCTGGGCTAATGCGGCAGGAGCAAGCTGTCACATCGCCCTGCCCGTCCCTTGCCTGCAGCTTAGGTGCCTCCACACCCTTCAGCAGAGCTTCACCTATGGGTGAAACAACTCCCGGTGCCTGATCCGGGAGCACTGGGAGCACCCACAGCCCAGGGTGCCAGCCCACCCACGGGTGACATGGGGACCTGGGCGCCCGGTGCCGGGGAATGCCGGGGAGCGGCCAGCATGGCGATACATGCTGAGTCGGCTAATTTGTCCATCCCCTCCTCGCCATTGGGTAAAAGCCAGCTCTGGAGCAGGGATTTGGGAGGGGGATTAGCTGGGCCAACCATCTGCTAGGAGCCAATCATCAGCATGCCCTGGAAAGCCAGTAATTACAAAAATATGGTTTCCCACCCGTTTTCTCCATTACACCCAGCTGGGTGCTGTCCCCAGGGTGGCATCCCCATGGAGCAGCACCCCATGCCCCTCCCGGGGCTGAGCAACCCATGAGCACCCAAACCGAACACCCAGGGGGCTCAATCTGGCCCATTTTTGGGGAATGTCCTGAGCAGGCCCGATGCCACAGCCGAGGGACTGTGGGCAGCAGGGTGGGGGTGAGGAGCAAATGTTAAAGCCCACGGCGGGGTCATGACTCAGCTGGGGCTGACACTCACTTAGCTGGTGACAGACACTGGGGCAGATGCCATGGGATTACCCAGCCTAAAACCTCAGAATCTGCCCCCCTTCCCTCCCCATCAGGCAGAGCGCGTTTAATTACTAATTTACTAATTACCCAAAGATGCTGGTGACAGGCTTGAAACCTGTGGTCAGGAGCAGCCCCAAGGCTCTGGCCGCCCTAATCCCACCGGCTGTGGGGAGCTGGCAAATACATCCTGGCCAGAGGACAGCTCAGTTGAGGACATCGGGTGACCCAGAAAGGCACCACTGTCGTGGCAGCCCCGCTATGGCCAGCGATGGCATGGGGTGGTGGGGAACACAAAGGGACAGTGGGGACAAGGAGGGGATGGTGCAGACCAGGAGAGAATGGGGACCAAGGGGAGATGGTGGGGACCAGGAGGGGACAGTGGGGATCAGCAGGGGGTAGTGGGGATCAGGAGGGAATGGTGCGGACCAGGAGGAGACAACTGGGATCAAGGGGAGATGGTGGGGACCAGGAGCAGATGATGGGGACCAAGGAGAGATGGTGGGCACCAAGAGGAGACAACAAGGATTAGGAGGAGATGGTGGGGACCAGGAGGAGACAATGGAGACCAAGGGGAGATGGTGGGGACTAAGAGGAGATGATGGGAATTAGGAGGAGATGTTGGGAACCGAGGGGAGATAGTGGGGACCAGGAGGGGACAATAAGGATCTGGAGGGGGTGATGGAGACCAGGAGGAGGTGGTGGAGACCAGGACAGAATAATTGGGAACCAGAAGATGATGGGGACAAGGACAGGATGATCAGGAACCAGGAGGGGATGAAGGGGACCAGGAGGAGATGGTGCTGACCAAGTGGGGATGATGGGGACCAGGAGGAGGTGATGGGGACTGGGAGGGGATGATGAGGATCAGGACAATGGGAACCTGGATGTTTTGATGGTGACCAGGAGACAATGATGGATGGTGGAGGGCAGGAGGTGATGGCAGGGACCAGGAGGGGATGATGGAGAGCAGGACAGGGCAATAGGGACCACATGGGGATGATGGGGACCAAGAGGGTGTGATGGGGATCATGAAGGGGCAGTGGGATGCAATAGGGTTGGATGGGGATCATGAGGGGATAGTGAAGGCTGGGATGGGATGCTGGGGACCAGGAGGGGAAGATGGGGGTCAAGAGGGAAGGATAGTGACTGGGAGGGGATGAAGGGGACCAAACGGGGACAATGGTGATAAAGAGGGGTCAAGGGATCCTAGAGGGATGATGAGGACCAGGAGATGATGATGGAGCCCAGGAGCAGCTAGTGAGGACGAGGAGGAGATGGTGGAGACCGGGAGGGGTCACTAGGGACCAGAAGCAGGTGGTAAGAACCAGAGGGTACATCAGGAAGGGACAACGAGGACCAGGAGAGGATGGTGGGGATCAGGAGGGGACAAGAGCAACCAGAAGACACAAAGGTCTGGGAGGATACAAGCTGGCTGTGGGACTGGAGATAGCTGGGAAGGGTTAATGTGGCTGCCAGGCACTGAGCCCTGTCCAGGCCAGGTTCCAGTTTCAGCTGTAATTAGCTCTTATTTGTTGGAGGCTCTGTGATAAATGATGCTCTGAAGGTTGCCCGATGACAGAGGGTGACGGGTCCCACGTCACCCACCCCAAGCCCTGCCAAAGCCTTTGCTGACCCCCCCCGGTGCAAGGATTAAAGTTTAATGTGGCTCTGGAGCTGACCTTGGGCACGCACCGCCCCAGGGACACGGGGCTGGGGACAGGCTGGTAGCGCTCCCATTGGCCATCTTCAGGGCAAGAGGCGTTTTAGCACTAGCCCAGTGGCCACTGGTTATTGGCACATTGTGGCCATGAGGCCATTTTGTTACTCCTTTGGGGGTCACCCAAGGGATTCGTTGATGAAATGTCACACCAGGTTGGGTTTCCCCCCTGACACTGGCCCCGCAGGATGGGCTCGGTGCCACGGTGGGGCTGGTCGGAGTGGTCCGGGCACATTCCCAGGCACCGGTAGAGCCATGTGCAGGTGCCAAGAGCCACCACAGTGCTCACCTGGGCGGGCTGAGGTCCTGTCCAGCAGCCACCTTTGGAGCAGCAGCTGCTTGGGGACCAAGGTGGAGCAAAGGGAACCTTGGACGTGTCCCCAAGGTGAGCGAGATGGGCACAGCACGAGTGCCAGGGCTGGCATGGTGCCTGAGGCTGTGGCTTGGGTTTCAGCAGGGCGACGTGGCACCACAACCATCTGGGAACAGAGAGGTCCCCAAGGTGGGGTTGGGCATGGGCCCATCTCTCCAGCTCTATGGACATCATGTTTTCTCCTTGCAGATGAACGTCCTCACCCGGGTAAAGGGGGAGCCCGCAGGGAGGGCACCCGCACCCACATGATCCCACCACTCCTCTGCTGTGGAACCCAGCGCCCACGGATCCTGTGGCTGGGACCTGCCCAGTGCTGAGTCTGGGGGTGCATGGGAGGCAGGGTGACCTGGGAGGCTGCTGTAGGCTGGGGATGGGTGCTAGCAGCAGTGCGTGCTAGCAGGGGTGGGTGCTAGCATGGGGGGATGCAGCAAGTGTGGGTGCTAGCAGGAGATGGGTGTTAGCAGGGGATGTGCTACCAGGGGATGGGTGTTACCAGAGGATGGGTGCTAGCAGGGGGTTGGTACCAGCAAAAATGGGTGGCAGCAGGGGATGGGTGCCAGCAGGGGATGGCTGTCAGCAGGGGCTGGGTCCCAGGCTCGCTCTGCCCCCTCTGCCCACAGGTGAGCACCCTGACACAGACCCTGCGAGCCCTGGACAAGCTGTTCCTCCAGCCCCGGCACTGGCTGGGCTCCTGGGTGCGACAGGTTTGGGGGGATCCAGGCCAGGCGCTCGGGCAGGGAGATGGCAGTGGTACAGGCAGGGGCTGCGCCATGACAGTGGTGCCCTGGGTCCCATCTCCCAAGCACCACGGGGGCTGATGCCGGGTGTTTGTCCCTCCAGGTGAGCAGCTCCAGGCAGGTAAGTGCTGGCCTCCCCTCTGTGCCCCACACCACCCATCTCACCCCTCCTGGCACAACAGGGCCAAATCCTGCGCGCCCTGCTTTGTCCTCAGCACCTAGAGGAGATGGCCCCTTCCCGGAGGGTTTCCCCATCCACGGAGGCCCAAGCTGTGCCCAGGCCACTGGCGATGGGGGATGAGCGAGCGAGTCAGTGATGCTGCCCCTGTCCCCAGGGCACCGGTGGTCCTGAAACACAAATGGGTCCCCAGGCAGTGGCGGGGCTGGTGAGCACGGTGGCGTTCTTCCTCTGCGAGGAGCTGCTGGGCCAGCACTTCGACATGGTCCCTGATGGGGTGGCCGAGCCCAGCTCGGGGACCTCTTCCTCTTCCCGCTGGCCTCGGGGGGCCCCGGCCTGTGGGGCGTGCACGCTGGTGTCTGCTGCAGTGATGGGGAGATCATCCACCTGGAAGGTGAGCCCCAGGAGGTGTGGTCACAGCTTGGGGACGTCCCCGTGGAAGGGACACAGGGTACAGTGTCCCCTCCACCCTGCAGGCAGCTCGGGGACGTCCCCATCGGGGATTGTGGCCAAGCATGGCAGGAGCCACCTACTGCGGACACGGGGCCCGGCCAAGGTGCTGCGGAGGAAGGGAGGGCTGGATGCGGCCACCCTGCAGCACCAGGTCCAGGCAGCCATGGACCAGGCAGTGGAGTATGACGCCGTCACCTGCAGCTGTGTCCACTTCGCCCTCACCCTGCTGGGGCTGGGCCACCTCGCTGGCGCCATGGTGGGTGCCACCACGCCAGGGGACCCCAACACCCGCTCCGGCCAAGCGTCACCACAGCCCATCTTCTCTCCCAGGTGTCCCCAGCGCTGCAGTGATGGAGGCGGCGACACGCATGGGGGACCTCCTTCCCTGGGGCACCAGCGTTTCGCCGGCGGCTTTGGCATTCCTCTTGTGTGGCAATAAAAGGTTGCATGGAGAGCCTGTGCCAACCCTGTTTGATTTGTGGGTTTTTCACTTTTGCTTTCCATTTCCCAGAAGCTGCCGGTGAGCGATGTCCCACCCTGGCATATCTCCAAAGGAGTGGCTGCTCTTTGCTCCCCATGGCCTCTTGAGACAAACAGATGCCTCTTTCCTTGACGGCGTTTGATTTTGAGCATCAAAATAAATATTCCCTGGGCCGCTAGGTTGAAAACTGGCCAAATGGCTGGATCAGGTCTGGTTGGAGGCCAGTCACTGGTGGTGTACGCCAGGGGTCGATACTGGGTGCGGTCCTGGTCAACATCTTCATTACTGGTCCGGTTGATGGGGCAGAGCTGGCACCAAACTGGGAGGGGTGGCTGATGCACCAGAGAGCCACCAAGGGTCTGGAGCATCTCTCGTATGAAGAGAAGCTGAGAGAGCTGGGGCTGTTCAACCTGGAGCAGAAAAGGCTCAGGGAGACCTTATCAGTGTGTATCAACACCTGATGGGGGGAGGAACAAGCCTCAGCACCAGGACATGTTGTGGGGGCGATCAGCTTGGTGGAAAAGGTCCTGGGGAACACCACGCTGACCATGTGCCAGCAATGTGCCCTTGGGGCACAGCTAAGGTGTCCTGGTTTCAGTTGGGATAGAGTTAATTTTCCTCCTAGTAGCTGGTATAGTGCTGAGTTTTGGATTTAGTATCTGAATAATGTTGATAACACACTGATATTTTAGTTGTTGCTACATAGCGCTTACACTAATCAAGGACTTTTCAGCTTCCCCTGCCAGCAAGAAGCTGGGAGGGTGCACAGCCAGGACAGCCAGGACCCAGACTGGCCAAAGGGCTATTCCATACCATAGGACGTCATGCTCAGTATATAAACTGGGGGAGTTGGCCAGGCGGTGGCGATTGCTGCTTGGGAATGGGCTGGGCATCAGTCAGTGGGTGGTGAGCAATCGTATTGTGTACCACTTGCTTTGTATATTATTCTTGTATTATTATTATATTATTATTATCATTCTTACTACTACTACTGTTAGTACTATTCTATTTTATTTTCCTTCAGTTATTAAACTGTTCATAACCCATGTGTTTTCTCACTTTTACCTTTCCAATTCTCTCCCCCATCCCGCTGTTGGGGAGGAGTGAGCAAGTGGCTGTGTGGTGCTTAGTTGCTGGCTGGGGTTAAACCATGACAGTCCTTTTTGGCACCCAATGTGGGGTTCGAAGGGTTTGTGATAATAATAGATTAACCAAAGTTTATTAAGGAATTTGTATCTGTTAAGAGTTGCTTGTCATAATATTGATTCATCTGTTCTCAGTATTAGTCTACCTGATCTGCACCATGCTCTTGGTTTTGTGGTATGTGTTAAAGATTGGTGATGGGTTTTGCAGTTTGCTGTGCTCTGCAATGATTAGTGATGTTTTGCCTGGGACATTTGTTATTAAAACACTGAGCTTGCGCTCTATCTGGTATTTGGGTTCTGTAGTGAGGCCATTACTGTACTTCGGGTACCACCTCATGGAGACAATTAGCAATTATACCTCTTCCTCTGAGAGGTTTTTTATGGAGGAAATACAGAATTATTTTTGCTGCCTTTGCTGCCTTCTTCTATGATGTTTCCTCCTGCATTATAACAACTTTTCAGTATCTTGAACATCCTTGGGTAGTTAAGATATATCTGTTGGTATTTCTTGGGAATATTGTTTTGGCTTTGTCTAAGGTTAATAAGCAGTTTAAGAATATCATCCAGAGATCTGCCCTAAGGTGGATAGTTATGAGTGGCAGGGTGTGTGGGATAGTATGGGCAAGTACCTGGGACAGTGGGCACCTCTAGTGTTTTGGAACTTCATATAATCATAGAATCGTTAAGGTTAGAAAGGACATCTGAGATCATCGAGTCCAACCTGTTAACCTAACTGCCTGGTCCACCGCTAAACCACGTCCTTAAGCACCACATCCACACATTTTTTGAATACTTCACCCCTGAACGAGTGCAGAATCCTGAAAAACTAGTAAAGTATTTGCAAAAAGTATGTTGTCACCTTGGCAACTCCAGCGAGACACAAATCACTGCAATGTGCTGGGGCTTGGCCCATGCCTACCAAGCCCGATTCAACATTATTCAGAACCCTCAAGGGGAAGAGAAGATCTCTGGATCTGATAAGAAAACTACAGGCACTGCAGCTACACCAGCCTCGGTGACAGGCACTGCGGCTACAGAAGC